CTAGCGGTTCTGGTTGGAGAGGTTCCTGGTGGCAGGCCTGTCACCCGCGTGGATGGCAGAGGGCCCCACGCAGCTCAAGGCTCCCTCTGGGGACAACACGAAGGCATCACTTACGACAGGTCTGCCCAAGCCGAGTTGCGTCTCCACAGCCTCCTGTGATCAGCCAGCTGCTCTTGGCTCTGTTTTTAGTTTGTCTCAAGTGACTATAAAGGATTTCTGGAGCACCTCTTCCAAGAGGCCCAGAGACATGTGCAGTGATATTGATTGTCAGCTCAGTGTCCCCATAGCCTCCTGCGTGCATGGGTCCTTCTCTCTGAAACCCTCCCTTGCCCCTTGGCCACTTGCTCTGTCATTGGCTTGCAAACAGTTCCAAAGACCCACGACATGGTGGCCAATAGTCATCAATTAAAATATATCTGAGATATACGGATTTTAGCATTCATAGGGAAGCCGCTTTTTCTTGGACAGAAAAAAAAAAAGGAGAGAAGAACAGGCTTCTTCCCAGCAACGGCGTCTCTGGCACAGTCCTGGTCTTGCCCCTTGGCCACTTGCTCTGTCATTGGCTTGTAAACAGTTCCAAAGACCCACGACGTGGTGGCCAATAGTCATCGATTCAAATATATCTGAGATATATGGATTTTAGCATTCATAGGGAAGCTGCTTTTTCTTGGACAAAAAAAAAAAAAAAAAGGAGAGAAGAACAGGCTTGTTCCCAGCAACGGCGTCTCTGGCACAGTCCTGGCAGAATGCCATGCACAGCCAGGCTTCTAATGAGTTCCTTGCCAAAGCTATTGCCACCACCGCGTTATTACGCCCGCTTCGCGTTAGTGATGAAGGCTAAGGGCAGGGAGCCAAGGTGAGGCGCCGACTCCCCAGGAGTCTAAGCACTACACCCACCTTGCTAGTTTTAAAGGCCCAGCACAACCCCGAAAGGAATCATACTCAATCTCCTCTTCCTTCCCTCACAAGCTCTCTTGTCCCTGGAAACATCCTATAAAGGTGATCCCAACCCCCCAAGAAAGAGGCTAGAACCAGGCAAAGGCTAGGCCCTCCGTTAGGCCCATGAGCCATTCTCTTTCCGATTGCATTCAATTTATAAATTGCTTTAGGTCATAACTTTAGGTCTCCATTACCCGCTCTGACCGTACGCTCGAGGGTGTCGCCTGAAATGGAGTCCTGCGTTCTGGTGTGCCTGGCACAGCGGGAGCTTTGGGCAGGAGGCGGGTGAGATGGTAAAAGACGATGGGAACCCGGGTTGGAGGTTCGCGGTGATGTCCCCCAGCCCTCTAGGGTCACGGTTCTGTTTATGCACCAGACGCGGGGGTGCAGACCGAGGCCGGTTATGTCCAAAAGGGATTCAATCCAATTTGATGAAGGGACAAGCTGCTTGGACACTAGAGACCCCAGGGGGCCTCGTCATTGGGAGTGCCACTGGACACCACCCAACGACCCCACCCACAGGACAGCTAGAGCCACTCTGTCCTTTACGAGATGCTCCTTAGAATCCCAAACGTCCTTGGAAGCGGCCCTCTCGGCCCCAGTGAACAGGTGGTGCTGGGGCTGAGGAAGCAGGTGTCACCTCCCTTCCGTCTGCTGCCCCCGCCCGAGTCCACCGTGAACCCATCGTCTCCCCCGAGAACCGGCTCCTCACACCAAGGACCTCGAAACCGTGCGGTCGGCCCAGCTCCCGCTCCCTCGCTGTTCGTCAGGCACCACGGCTCGCCCGGTCTCACACGTGGCCTTCATCTGTTCCCGCCTATCGTTACTGGGGTTCAGCCCCTCGAGCCCTCACCTCTGGTTTTTACCACAGCGTTTGCGTCTGTTCCACTCGCCCCTCTTCCCACGACGCCGCTTTGCACGCTGCCCCGGGCTAAGTCCCCTGGAGCGTGGTTTTCATCGCTTCCAATTGCTTCTTAGGTTAGACTGTCCCTCCTCCACCCCCCACCCCTGCCCAGAAACAGACGGCGAGGAGTCAAGTTCACTAACTTATCCCAGGGAGTAGGGGAAGAGGGCAGGGGAGCCAGAGCAGCCGGCGAGGGCACGTGGATGAATGGCCCACCGCCGCAGACAACTGGGCTGGACTCCGAGAGGACCCTCTGATGCATCCTGGGGAACACGTGTCAGAACCGTCCACCTGCATCCCTCTTGGCTGAGGGTCGCCCCTTAGGGCACAAACTTCCAGCACGTCCAGCCCACCCTGCACCACCCAGGAGGAGCCCTTCTGGAGGGAGAAAGACACCGGGGAAGCTGCGGTGTGGCGCGGAGCTGTCCAGCAAGGCTGCCGTGGACCCTGGATGGGCCCTGGGCACACGGCTAGGCCACCGGCAGTGGCTCCGCAGCTTCTGGGCTTCTGCAGGAGGAAGTCCTCGCTCCCTGGGCCTGCCTGCTGGGTAGGGCTGCCAGGTGAGATGCAGGACGCCCAGGTAAACTGGGGTTTCAGATAACAATGGATAGTTGTTTAGCATAAGGTTATCGCACACGGTGCATGGGACATTCATATACAAAAAAGTTATTCATTGTTTATCTAAAATTCTAACTTAGCTGGGCAGTTGGTATTTTTATTTGCTAAATCTGGCAACCCCACCTCAAGGCCCTCCTCCACCCTGATTCTGAGACCCTTTTCCCCTCAAGAAGGGGCTCCTCTCTGCGCGTGGCCGCAGTCAGTCACCCCCAACTCCATGGGGTACTCAAGCTGGTTCCCTGGCGGGGTCCCCCACTTCTCACACAGTCTCTGTCCTGCCTACTGTCTCTGGGTCTAACGTCGTGAGCAGTCAGCATCTTGTCACCTCTCCTCTGAAAGCAGGTACTGTTTGGCCTGGTTACCTTAAGCCTTTGCGTCACCTGCTAGCATTTGTCTGAGTGCTGCATCTCCCCAGCTAGACTGCAGTTCTCACCTAGCCCCGCCTCATGGTCAACAGGTGAGTATCGGCTGGTCCACGAGGACAGCCCCTGGTCCCAGCAGCGAATGCACGCCCTGTGAGGGACACAGACCCCCTTGTGGACCCCTGGATCTCTCCGTCAACCGGCGCACGTGTGGAATAACCGAATGACGGGACTTTGGGTCAGGGCTGGATCGCGCCACGGGTGTTGTTTGAAGCAGCCAAGGTTGTCGCCAGCAGCAGGAAGGGTGGCAGCCCAGCTATGTCGTGGCTTTCCCACCTCCACAGCCTGGCCTCTCAGTCGCTTTCCGGGTCTGGACTTAGTCCTGTGCCACCACCAGCATCAGCCCTTGAGTGCCCCCCACGCAAATCCCATGCCACGTGTGGAACCGGTTTTGCCTTCAGCCTGAACACAGTACGGCCTGTACGCTGGACTGTGTGCTGCTTCTTTTTCTCTTAAATTGAGTGCTCTGATGTAGATGGAATAGCCATACATTTAAAAAAAACACTTGAAATCTATAAAAGCTTTCCCGTGAGTTATTTTCTCTAAACATCCTTATAAAGTAGGCAAAGAAGAATGATGTCTGACAAATAGGAGAACTTAAGTGGTTTAATGTCTGACTCAGGTGATCTCTGCTTTCCCGTGGTTTGTAGACCAACCTCTACCTTTTCATTTACAAATGTGAAAACGTCTCCCCTTGGCAGTGTAAACAGGAATATTCCAACTTCAACCAAAATGCTTATTCAAAGCGATGCTTATTCCTGCATGTTCCAGTCACTGCACTGCCAGCCACACAACAGCTGGGGGTCTGGCACTTGCTCCTGGAACTGCCCCCAGCCAGGGAGGGCTGGCCAGCTGCCCCAACTTCAGGCTGCTCCTCAAGTGCCCATCAGAAGTCTGGGATCCCGGCCCCTGGATTTCCCTCTTCCTGATCCACGCATTAGCACACTGGCACGGGAAAGGAGCAGCTGCACCCAACCAACACAGGTGAAAAGTGCCCGATGGGGTTCCAGAGGAAAGCCAGCTGCCGGCCAACCCGGGGGGACCCACCCCGGCCCCGCCCGACGCTGTCAGGAAGGATTACTTTAATGAGGTGTTCACAGCAGCTCACTGCGCACCCCGACCCTGTGCCCAAGACCGGTCATTCCGGAGAGAGAACCAAATCACATTCCCCACGGAGCCCTCTAGTGTGTGTGCATGTGTATGTCTGCGCGCGTGTGCGCACAAACATTTACTTGGTTGGTGGAGGCCGGGGGTGTGACCCAGTTGGGGGTTTCCTTCGGGTGAAGGTAAGGGCTGCACCGCACGCTCCACCACCGCTCCCCCCACCACCGCTCCCCCTCGGGGAGGCTAGGGAAGGCTGCATCCGGGCGAGAACAAATGGCTACCTGGCGGGCTACCTGGGCAAGCAAACAGCAGGTGGGGAGCCGACCCCGCCCGCGTTCCCTCAGGCTGGACAAAGTCAAGCCGCAGCCCGATCGATGCCGCCAAAGTCCGGGCCGGGCTGCCGCGTGCCCAGGGCTGAAGTTCGCCGCAGCCCCGCTGCACACGTTAGGGATCCCCGATCCCCCAAAAGCCTGAAATGTGCTGGGGAGGGGGCCTGGCAAAGCAAACGGCGGCAGAGGAGCCCCCCGCCCCGGGCCCAGAGACACCCTGAGGGAAATTGGGGAGGAAAAGGTCCATTTGAGGGCGCAGCTACACAGCCACCATCCCCCGCCCGCTGTCCCCACCCACTGCCCCTCCCCTCCGTCCCCGGCGGCCGCGCGCGGCTCCACCTTCCCGGAGCGCAGTCCACACCGTCCTTCTTCAAAACAACACTGCGCACCGCCCTCCGCTCCCGCACTACTTATCAACCTCAGATGAGGTTATAGACATGAAAATATGTCTATTACAAGTGTGTCTTATGAATATAATAGATTTAATGTCACTCATCTTTAAAGACAGCTTAAGTCCTCATTAGTGTGTCTGGTTTTGGTTTTTAAATTTGAAACTAGTCAATAAG